CGCTGACAACAGGGCACACCATAGGCTCGAAAAAAGTAACCTGATTCAGGATAATGTAAACCAATGATCCTTTGAAGGGCCGTAATACCGCGATCCCTATTACAATTATAATCCCTCACAAGGGGAGAGGCTTTATTAGCCAGGGCCTACATTAAATTTGAAGAAGTACCGCGAAGTACTGCCACCAGCCCGTCACGAGTCACATAAGTCCGCAGACACTCAACCCCTACATAGGCCAGACACCGAAACTTAGGGACTCCAGGCGCAAATCAACATCGGGATGACTATCAAGTACTCCACTTAGGGTGATTTCGAGAAAAGTCCCAAACAACCTACACCCTAAACCCTGAAACCCTGAAACCCTAAACCCTAAACCCGAAAATCCCAAAACCCTAAACCCTAAACAACCTGCATCCAAGACTCTTGGGCTACTGGCATCTCTGGGGCTTCGTCACGAGCGTTGTCGGTGCAGCGGGAGACGGAGTCTGAATCATCCTCCTCCTTGGCCTTGCACCAGGTAAGCACCCAAAGGCTGCCTCCTCCTCCCCAAGAGGGGCCCCATGATTATTATACGATTATCCCTAAGGGTCCAAGGACCCAAATAATGTAGGGTTCTAGGGCCCAAATACTATAATATTAATGGTATTTGGGCCCTAAAACCCTATTATTTTGGTCCTTGGACCATTAGGGCTAGCTAGGCACCCAAAGGGTCCATGTAGCTATGTATTACTTAGGGCCCAATGGGATATAAGTACTGTAGGGCCCAGGCGTCTACTATATAGCTACATGGACCCATACGAAAGAGGAAGATTTTGAACAATGACCCATTTTACCAATGAGGTGTGGCTTCACTCAACTTGAAGGGGTTTGCATGATTAACTTAGGGCTAAGGATTAACTGGGAGTGCACAGGCCAGAGAGTGCCAGAAAGCTTCAGTATGGAACCGCTCGGCCTACGTTCAACATGATGTTCGAAGTTGGTTCGCAGAACTGCACTTTTTTCTGAATGAGAGCTTGATGAACTGAACTGGCGGCACGGGGCCTTAAGCATCTGTGGTGCCTGAACAGCAATCATGAACCATAACTCTGCTTGCTTCGTTTACAACAATCCCAGCATCTAGGCGAGAATCCAGCTAGAATTGTTTACATTGACCTCGAAAATGGACATAATGATTGCCTTGGGCCCCAAGATTTTGGGCACGTAACAAAGGGGGCACTGGAAACCCCAGCGATGTAAAGGCTAGGGGTTCCATCGAGATTTGGGGTGCCTGTTAGGGACGAGGGTTGTCATTTGGAGAAACTCCCGTATGAACACTTTACAAGCACAAATAAGACAACTAGCGCTCTTATAACTACTCCGGACGCCGGGCCCTAGTTCTCAATCGCAGTGATAGGACTAATTACCCCAAAACCCTAAATCCTAAACCCTAAAACCTACACCCTACAGAGTTCTGGTGGCCATGATCAGCCCAGCAAAGCTCATCGACTTCCCAAAGGGTTCATGTAGCTATATGAGCTATAATCCAAATTCCTGAAATGGGGTTGTATAGGGGAGTATTGTAGGGCTTATTAAGGGGGATACTAGGAGTTTTGACTGCAGCTCATATAGTATAGGATGTAGGGTTGAGGGTCTAGGGTAAGTATATAATATATATGCTTAGGGCCCTAAAGAAATTATACGGAAACTCCTCTGGGCCCGAAGTATATACTACATAGCTATATCCTTTTGGATTTCTGCTGATACTCAGGAAAGCTCAGACTGAACTTTCAAAGTGGCGGCGCCAAAAAACGAACTCCCAACACGCCAAAACTTCAAACTGCCAAATGAGCTACTGTCTAAACTCCTAGTATCTCCCTTAATAACCCCTATAGTAGTCCCCTATATTATCCCCTAATATAACCCCCTTTAAGGAGTTTAGATTATGGCTCAAATGAAGAACAACCTGAAAATGCGAAACTCAAATTCCAAGCTCCGAAGCCCAACGGCCCTACGGTTGACAGTTCAAAGTAGATACTTCATACCTGTGTAACTGCTCAGGTCACGCAGGACTTTTTAACATTAACAACCACAACACCTGAACCTGAAGCGGTTATAGTCCCCCTTAAGTAGATTCAATATGGCTTTGGGTATATTATAATATGATCCCCGCATACACCAGGTTCTATCTACTTGACGGGGACTATAAGCCCAAAAATCCAGGTAACCCCGAAAGCACCTTGCAGTCAGCAACATATAGTATATACCTGGGGCCCAAATTGGTTCCCACATAACTACTTTAGGGCCCAAGTATAGACTATATACCTACCCTAAACCCTAAGCCCTAAGCCCTACGCCCTAAACCCTCAACCCTCTATCCTATACTATATAGCTACATGGACCCTTTGGGAAAAGCACCTTTCCCTCAGCAACATCCGGCTTCTTGGCAGTGTAGAAGGAGATGCGGCCATCTGCTGCCTCACCTCTTGGCTGCTGGCGGGCCCAAAGCTGACATGGAATTTCTTCTTCCTAGAGATCTTGTAAGGGTCCAAGGACCCAAAAAATAGGGTGTTAGGGCCCAAATACTACTATGTTAATGGTATTTGGGCCCTAACACCCTATTATTTGGATCCTTGGACCCTTAGGGGATATGTTAGGACATATATGGGTTAACAACTCTGCGGATGGCAGAAAACACTGGCAGGCAGAGGGGCAAACAGCACGTTGGAGGCCGCTTCTTGCAAAACAAGCTCGGCTTTACGCGCGGTGGGAAACGGAAATCAGGATTGTTATCAATGCAATGTGGGCTCAATATACTATAATCCTTGTTGTGATTGGAAACTTCCAAAACGTTTACATAAACCCTAGACCCTAAAACCCTAAATGGCTACAAGGAGCTTTGGGAACCCTAAACCCTAGAATAATTGGTGACAGCAAACGCTGCCCTGGACTTCTATGATTTCCGTACTTGGCATAATCCATGGTTGGGACTTGCGGACAAGAAACAAAAGACTCACCAGGGTTTATAGGAGTTATACAGGGATGTAAAGGTTTTAGGGGTTAGGGTTTCGGGATTAGGGTTTAGGTGTAGGGATTGGGGTTAAGGGTTTACCAATATCAGGGGCACCATTTCGGGGGTCATAACAGTAAGGATTGTAGCATTATGGGGTCTATATTGGGTACCCCTATTAAGGCACACTATGTACAGCAAGGATGCTTGACAGAGGCAATGATTTGGCAATGCGTAACCTGGAGAAAAGGATCCTGTAGCCCAAAATCATAGGGTATATAGGGCTTGGTCAGAAGAGCTTTACCCCTATCTGCTCCATCCCCGGATTACAAGTTTCGTCGCTTTCTATATCAAGGCGTGTACTACCTGCAGGCCAGAATCTACGGCAGTATATAGTCACTCCTAAGTAGATAGAATATGGGGTATGTTGAGATCTTACTATAATATACCCAAAACCATATTCTAGCTACTTAAGGGGCACTATAGATGTAGCTGGGCTCACGCTAATTATCAGCAAGTCGCTTGGAGCCAAGATCTTTGCTGGCTGCTCCTCCTTGACCTGTCGGATTTCTCAAAACAAGGGAAACCCAAGGTATAAATGACCTTGTGATATCCATATTTCTCAGGTTTACTGGCATATGCATTTGTCACTCCAGCACTCCATATGATCACATGAAAAATGTATGTGTATATATATATATATGAATATATGTAGCTTTACACTTGATTTATGCCTGCTCCTGCTGCTGCTGCTGCTGCTGCTGCTGCTGCTCCTTTTCCTCTCTCTCTCTCTCTCTCTCTGGGTCAGGTCGCGCAATGTAGCTAATGCAGCTACCTAGCTCAGCTCGGGGCCACGGGACCCGATAGAATCAATGTGTAAGGTTGCCGCGAAGGACCTGCTCTGGGAAAGTGCGGGCATCCTACACCATCAAATCCCAAACCCTAAGCCCTAAACCGCAAATCCTAAATGTCCTTTAAACCCTAACTCCTGAACTCTACAGTAAACTCCTAAACCCTAAGCCCTAAGCCCAACATGAACATAGCCGGACCTCAGGCTTCACCTCTGTCTCAACCCTTGCAGATCGTGGCCGTAATACCGGCACCGGAGGCGGTGGAGGCGGCGGCTTGCCTTTCAGTTTTAGGGTTTAGGGTTGTAGGGTTGTAGGGTTATAGGGTTTAGAGTTTAGGGTTATAGGGTTTAGGGTTTAGGGTTATAGGGTTATATGGTTATAGGGTTTAGGGTTATAGGGTTTAGGGTTTAGGGTTGGGTACTGCCCCCCCCCCAGTAACAGTTGGATTATCATTATAATATGGTTCTATATAGCCCTTAATAGGAGTTACTGGGTGGGGCAGTAATTGCCCAAGTTTAGGGTTTAGGGTACCACAGGCTTCAACTACACACAGATTACTGCTAGGAATGGCATTGCTGCGTGCCGCACCTCTCATGCTACATGCAAAGAGTTGGGTTCCCGAAGCCATACGAAAACCGCGGCATCCTTTCTCTCGGTACATCCCGAAAGGGGTAGGCAAATTTGACGCCTATCCACTGGCTGGCTTAGCCGTTGGTGTTGTTCAACGCTTCGTCTGAGGGAGGCAAAGGCATATCTAGATTGATTCAAAGTATTCAGCAGTTATCAAACTGTACCATTCAAAAGGTTATCGCCCTACCCTGGCCCTGCACAAACACCCTGTTGCCTGCAGCGGGCTTGAGCTGCAAACTGACCTCTTCGCTCTTGACAGAAATAGTCTTGCGGGATCCGGGCGAAGAATCAGTACGAACTCGCTTGTCTGGGTCCGCGCGCTTTTGTAGCCTCGGCCTTTGGTTGCGCTTTCCATTGTTCTGGCTTGACACCAGGGTGCGCGCAGGCTCGGCAATTTTGGCAGGGCTGGGTGGAAAGATCTTCTCACCATCCAGAATGTGAGCTGCTGCAAGCGCGCCCTCCGGGGCAACATACTCGCAAAGACCCATGCCCTGCGACTTGCCGTCCTCTCGGAAAATCCGAAGTCTCTTCACAGAGCCAGCTCTCTCAAAAATCCGCTGCAGCTCCATCTCTGTGATCTTCTTGGGCGCGTTGTGGAAGAACACGCAGTGCCTGCGGGCCGCCTCCTGAAGTAGCCCTTTCATGCTAACATTAAGCAGCCCCCTGACCCTGGCAATATAAAATGTTCCCTCTATGAGACCTTCTATCTTTGGGGACTTGTTCAATATCAGTTAGGTGTGGGAGCTGCTTCATGTTAGTCTGAAGGGATTAGTATGGCAAAGAATGGCAAAGATTGCCGTTTTAGTGCATAGGTTTAGGACAAAAGGTATCGAAGAATGTATGCTGTTGTACGTCCTGATGATCTTCACTGACTAGAGGGGCTTCTTGGAGTCCCTCCTTGGGACCCTAAGCCTCTCCCCTAACAGTGATTAAAAAACCCACACAAACAACAAAGCTTGCTCCTATTCTATGACCGCACTAGGATTGGAATAGTTACCCATAAGGGCGTGAGAGGGGGGCTTATCATGAGGTGGGATGACTATGCAACTGCACAGGTTTTTCTGAGAAATTCCATCCTCTCCATTCTCATCAAAGGGTGGTGGCGGAGGCGGTGCTGAGGACGATAGCCGCTTAACCAGCAGAGGCTTCTCCTCATCTTCGACCTCCTGCGGTCGAGATGGGCTTCAAACAAAAGAGTGCCCGCTTTTATTGCGGGTCTCCATAATGACACCCTAAACTCTAAACCAAAGATGAGCCTTATAGTACTTGTGACTTCTGTAGAAGGCCGTTTGGGGTTTAGGGTTTCCAAACCGCCCGGTGCTGACTCAGGGCTTGGAGAACTTTCGCAACCAATCACTTCTATGAGCGGAACGCTGAGCTCATGTCTAGCGTTGGTCATTCTTGCGCATGCTTCATCTTGAGTTGATATAACAAAACTTTAGGCCGCTTGGGTCACAGAAACGCGGCTTAGTATGTTGCTTGCAACCTGACAGCTTTCTATGAAGTCCCAGTCCTCCTCGCTCAAGTCCTCCACTGGGCCAGTGAAAACTCTTCGCCGTTGCGCAGGTGCCTGTTGGCTTCCAACCTAGATCGTTTAGTAGGTGTCTTGCCTGCTAAGTCCTCCTTGGACGCTGAACTTCCTACCTTTTTTGGGATATACGCTATAAACATGTAGGACAGAACCTCAAAAAGGAAGACCAGGAACCTTTCCAGCTGCGTTTTTTCGGAACGCTGAAATGTATCCCTTCTCGAAGACTGGCAACAGAAATTGGCCTTAAGGGTCCAAGTATCCATAATCAAACTCGCCCACAATCAATACCACAATTACGTGTACCAAAGCCCTGAGTACCCAATCATTGGCTGGCTGGACAACTAGGGTAAGAGAGGACAAGGGAGAGCGCATAAAGGAGGCGAGCACAGAACACATGTCTTCAACAAAACATTAGATCTTAGTTTTAATAGAGCTCTGCAATTCCCCACTGGATACAGGTTAAGCCTTAACTTTAGTTGTTTTCTAGAATTCCCAGTAGCTTCAGGTTGCCTTCTCAGCTACTGAGCTTTTCGACCGCTTCAACGGTAGAAGTTGCTCGGCAGGAGCCCTGGCACACCTAAAACCACACCGGACACCCGCCAACCTGACATGTTGAATATGGCCACATCCAAGTGTCTCTGAACGCCAAGCCTGGGCCCAAACCCTCATCCCTTCACCCCTCACACCTGACACCCCTCCTAGCCCTTATCGGTAAACCCCTCCATAAACCCCGTATGCTTTATCCCTAAACTCCTTGTCTCTTACCCATACCCGGAGTCCCCCTCACCTTTATGAGGCCTAAACCACTATGAACCCTAAACCAAGCATAAACCCTAAACCCTAATCCGTATCCCTGGAGCCCGCAACCCTCATACGTCAAGTCGCCTTCTTTGGCTCGCTTCCGCGTAAGACCAGATTGGAGCCCTCCTCCAACATTCAATTCCTAGACCTAGGGTGTAGAGTTTAGGGTTTAGGGTGTAGGGTTTAGGGTTTAGGGTGTAGAGTTTAGGGTTTAGGGTGTAGGGTTTAGGGTTTGGGGCCTAGGGTGTAGGGTTTATGGTTGAGGGTCTCCATGTACCCTTAAATAGGAGCTCTCTAACAATGGGTGTCTAGGACATGGTATGGTATATGGGGCTTTGGGTTCGGCTCAAGGCTTAAGAGGGATCCCCCAATTTACCAAACCTCCTTTTTTTTACAACCCTGTCGACTCTTTCGTGTCTAGCAGCTTGCTCAGGGGGTCCGTTTGCCCAGTCGGCTTACACATTAGTTACGGCCCGTCTACCTCAGTTGACGTTGTTCAGGGGGCGGTTCACTGCATTGTTGTTGCTGTTGTCATCACCTTCCTTGGGCACCACATCTTCCACAGTAGCTTCATCCATCATGGTCATCATCGCCATTGCCACATGCTCACCCCCCACATCCTCCCTCATGACAGGACCACTCACAAGTCACCTCCACTTCCACCGCTTCAGTGCCACCAACGACTCCATCATGCTCCTCCACACCATCACCGCATCCAGCGTCCACACCCGCAGCGAGGGTCCCTGCATTCTCCACTGTCACGTTCACAATATCCCGCAGCACACCATCACCAACCACAGAGGCCTGCATTTGTTCAGCGCAAGGATCTTCACCAGCCACTTCCACTCCACTGGCTAGGGGTGCCAAGCAACCACCACACTCTCGCTCTTTTTCACTTTCTCCCTCCATGGTAGAGGGCCCTGGCTTCTTTCGACTGGCTCTCGATCTCCGCGCCCCCCCCCTCCCTTTACGCTCTAGGGTTTGTGGTTGAAGTCTTTTTCTGTTGAGGGCTTTTGATTCAGGGTTGAGGGTTGCTTTGCCACTCCCGCCCCAGAATCCTGCCAATCCTCCGAAGAAAAGCTCAAACTCGCAACCCCAGGGTTTAGGGTTTAGGGTTTAGGGTTTAGGGGTCCCAAACTCTACGCCCATTTGCAGCAGGCTTTCTAAGTCCAACCGGTAGCAGGGGCACTGAACACCACCGAAGTTGCTTTTACAGCAACCCCAGAAGCTTGACCTCCACTTCACCTAGGTTCCCTGGAAACCTCTTATAAGGGTATCCTTTTTCCTAATATCCAGCTTTAGTAAGGAGACCCCAAAATAAAAAGGGTACTACTGGGGTACCTAGTCACTAAAGAGTATCTGTTAAGAAACGACCTCACGAATACACCCTAAACCTTAAAACATTGGAATGTATAACAAACCCTAGACCATTAATTAACCCCTTTAGAGGACCCAAGTAGATTCTTTCCAAAGCCTGAAAAAACAGTTTAGCCCACGATTACATGGGCTTAGTGTGGAATGGGCCTGGGCTTAGGGGAGCCGCAATACGGATTCCCCCTACTGTATTCCCCCTGGGCCTCTACTGGAACAAATGTCTTGAATAATTCTTCAGGGTTAAACTATAGCAAAATTTGAAGTACTTCCTATGGGGATAGGAAACTAAAAACTACCCTAAGGGTCCAAGTACCTAATAATCATATACTTACCCAAAACCAATGCTATAATTACTATTACCCAAAACCCAAGTGCCTAATTATTGGGTACATGGACCCTTTTGGTTAGGTAGACCTGTCAGAAGTGCAGTCCTCGCGCGGTCTCAACGCGAACCGGGGTTCGAGCCGCGCCTTGAGTTTGACATAAAAGGTTGTTAGGGTTTAGGACTCGAGGTTTAGGGCTTCGAGTTTAGGAGTTGGGGTTTAGGGCTTCGGGTTTAGGGTTTGGGGTTTAGGGTTGGGGGCTATGGGGTTCAGGGTGGGCTAAGTAGGAGTTGCCAGAGTTTAGGGCTTTGGGGCTCAGCGCGCTGTTCCCCACCCCTGAAGTGGAGCGAGGACAGAAAGCTTTGCCCACGTGGCCGAATTGCATGCAAAGGACAGTGTAATGGACCGGCAGCCTACGCAGCAGCCAGAACAATTAACAGATAACAACCCTAAACAGTCAACCATGCGCAGCTAGGCAAGGTGTCAGTCAGGCAAGTGTTAGGTAAGCATATCAAGAAACACTAAGTGTTGAACAAGTTAAAGCCGCGCTTTACTTTATCCGTGCGTGCTGGTTATAACTTGGGATTTCCCTACAGAGAGATACTGTACCAGAACACCAGAATGCGCCTTCAAAAGGCAGCTAGAAGACACATCCGGACTTGTCCATCGAAAGCCGGGCAAGTGGCATCTTGGGTTTATTTTTCTAGGGTTGCAAGTTGGAGTTGCAGAGCATCTAGGGACGACTAATGGACTAATTAGTAAGTTACTCAAACCCCGACCCCTAAAGTAGATATTATGTGTGCCTTGTAGCTTCAAGTTCAAACTTCTTGCTCCGAGTGGGAATTCCAAAGATGCTTTCGGGCTGCTGGGGGACTGCGAGAGGCTTTGGGGTCTCTAGAATCTAGAAGGAAGAGCTGTCTCTGGGACTTTACGTCTATGAATGCCACCTACTGTCGCCTGGGCTATGGCAAGAAGATCATGGCAAGACTATTGAAGGTTTAGGGGTCCAGGCTTTAGGCTTTGACAGGAAGACGGCCGTGACTACAGTAGACCTACCATCGCTGCAAGGGGTGTCATCTACACTATTCAATGGGGCCCAGAAATCCGGATCTTCAATACCTTTTGAATGATGAAAATGATTTCCTCCAAAATCCCAAAATGAATGCTCTGGACCACATACATGGAGCGAAGGTCTACAAAATGACAGGGTCCGAAACCCCATCAACACCAACGAGCTCGTACAGTTCTTGTTCATGGAATACAGCCTTTATGACTCCTCATGGCTCCTCCAACCGCTTCCCATTATGGTTTGCTATTACAGTACTGCTACTAAGGTTTAGGGTCTAGGGTTTAGGCGGTGCTGGACGAATCAGATCTGAAGAGATATCTTTGTTCTGACCTCACAAAATGCGTACCTGGACCTCCAAAGTACGCATGGTAACTGCCTTCAGCCCTCAAATGATAGTTTGGTTATTGGCGTTTGGCAGCTAAGTGCACTGCCAAAGTAATGATCTGATGTCCAAGATCATTTGTGGGGATTCCAAATTTGCAAGGCACCCCTACATAAATCGCAGCATGCGAACGTAAAGCAAGGGAAGCAGCACATAAAATCCTTAAACCTTCTACCTGAAAAACGAACTATAGAACAGCTTTTGACAATGAGATTTCAACTCAGCAGGAGCTAGGTACCTAGGTTACATGGGGCCCACAGGAATTCCTATGTCGAACGTTGGGAGCTTATGTATTTACTAAATAATCCCCTCCGTAGATTAATGATGGAAACCCTCCCAGCCTGGAATAACAAATTGGATTAGGGTGTAGGGCTATAAGGTGTAATGGAGGAGATTGATTATTCAATCCCCTCCCCCCCACCCTTAATGCTCAGTATTCCCATAAGATCTTATATGAGCTATAGCCTAAACTCCTCAAAGCGGATTGTATAGGGGAGTAGTATAGGGGTTATTAAGGGGGATACTGGAGTTTAGACTATAGCCCTAAACCCTTTAAACCCTAAACCCTAAATTAGACTATAGCTCATATTAGGGGAGGTAGGTGGGGTGATAGTCGGATAGTCACCTGAAAGGAAGAAATAGCTGGACCCTTTCGGGTTTACCCTAAACCCTCCAACCCTAAATCCCTAAATCCCTGAATCCCTAAACTCTATAAATCCCTAAACCCTACAACCCCAAACCCTAAATCCCTAAACCCGAAATCCCTAAATCCCTAAACCCTAAATCCCTAGATCCCTAAATCCCTATAAACCCTTGTCGTTTAGGGTAGCCAGTTTGCCTTGCTCCGCGTCTGCGAGAAAGCCGTAAGAGGCCGTTTCATGGCATCATTTGGCTGCCTGAACTGCCTCTAATTAGGGTTTAAGGTTTAGGGATTTAGGGTTTAGGTTTAGGGTTTAGGGTTTTAGGGTATTTTAATCCTGCAATTACATCATGATCCAAAAGCATGTAACCCCACGATGGATATACAGGCCATGAACCCTAAGCCCTAAACCTAAGGGTATTTGGCTTTGGGTGGTCTAGGTGGTTCTCCTGTGTTTAAGCACGTGCTGATCCGAGACGGAAGCAAACGGGTCCTCACAAAAGCATGGAGTGATGTGAGCTAAAATCTAAACTCCTTCAAAAGGGGTTATATAGGGGATTACAGAGAGGAGTATTCTAGGGGCTATTGCGCAGGATACTAGGAGCTTAGACCATGACTCGTGTTGTCTTGTGGTCCGAGTTCCTCCGCTCTAACATGTACTGTTCACAGGTGGGGTTTGGACGCTATTCATGAACTTAGGCTCGCAGGGCAAGAGCACCTGATGGGTTGCTGCTGTCCTAGCAGAGAACTGCAATTTGCAAGGCTGAGCCCGAGAAAAGCCATGGCGGGGCAGCAAGCATTTCAAGCAACCAGACGGGGGGGAAACAACAAAAAAAAAACAATGAACGACCAGTTTATGTGAGTGAGATGCCTTCGGTAGTTCTAGTTGCATCATACTTCTAGCGCTTCTGTGAGGGACTATGAGATGCATTAACTATCCCAGCCTAACCAGACCCCTACGAGGATCGAAGAGAAGTCGAAAACCTAGCATCGCCTACTACTCCCTGAACCCTTTAAGGGTTAGGGTTTAGGGTACATTGGAGTGGAGTCCTTAAGGGGATCTGCTTTCTAGATCCTTTCGGGCTAAAGCAACTATAATGGTAGCGCTGAGGGCTTAGGGAATTTCAAGGAATCAAGGGCCCTCAAGGGCTTAGCTGTTATAGAGCGATGACCCTAAACCCAAAAGCCATGCCTTGTGGCTGGGCTATACCTTTTTGGGGCTGCATGGCTTAGGATTCTCCACTTCAATCCGCATGACGGAAGTCCGGAAAGAACTGCTGGCCGCTAGCAGACCAAAACCTAGACCCAACAAAGCCTGTATCCTCTGACAAAGAACTG